ATCATCATCTTTTTTTAGGCAACATCAATGTCCAGCAATGTCCGGCAAAGTACATTTCAATAGTTTCTCTCTCTCTCTCTTTTTTTTGCAAATCATTTGGGTGTAAGATGGACACAAGGAAGCTAAAAGAAAGAAAGAAATAAGGATGATGATGATGATGATGAGGAAGAGAAAGAGAAAGAGGAAAAGGGAGGCAAAGAAATAAGTGATAAGAACGTGATTCATAGAGGGAGCGAGGCCCAAAGAGAAATGAAAGAAAGGTAAAAGATGAGGATGAAAAGGAAGATGAAGATGAAGATAAAGTGAAGCTTTTTAATTTGATAGCCTTGATTAATTTAGGAAAATAGGTCCAGTGAACAGAAACCATATCAGTTATAAAAGCATATGGATGAAGGTGATAAATTGATGAGGAACCGTTAATGATGCTACTGAACAATCATTTTCTTGCCTTAACAATTTAACTTCTCATTTCTTTTTACACCTTCTCCATCTTCATCTTCATCTTCATCATCATCATCTTACATCTTTTCCTTTTCCGTCATCATTACACACTGATCATTATCCATTTACTATCATCATTTAGATTTACTTTCATCTCATCATCATTCAAATGCAAAATTTATCATCATCAACACCAATCACTTGATCATCACCCTACAGGTAAACAATTAAATGTATAATACAAATAACCCATTGATTATCACTGATTGTTAACTGATTAACAATCAAAGTCAAATTGGTAATGATGGTGATTAATGATTTAAGATTGATATTAATTTAATGTTAATGTTTCGTGATAAGAAATGATTTGTAATATTTTAACCTGGATTAACAAATGATTAGGTTAAACAATTGATTGATTGCAATTACTTTTCATTGTGACAATTAATTATTATTATTAGTTAGCAATTTATATCGTTGATTTATCTCAAATTTTGTATATATGATGTATAGTTTTTTTTTATGTTCATCATTATGTCAGTACCATGAAGATAATACATTGGAAAGACAATAACAATTTATTCAAATTAACATAATCAACATGATGATGATTATCATTGAAAATAGTATATATAATAGTTACATTAAAACTGATTCGTGATCAAGTTGCGGTTGACAGGTAACAATTAACTAACTAACTAAGTAAATTGTCAAACATTTATCAAAATGAAAATAATAATAAAAAAGTTTCTGTGGTTAATTGTAATCCAATAATAAATACATGATATTTTCACGCCATTTTCATTATTTAATATATATCAAGATGAACAAAATGATTAACTCAGATGATTGTTGATGGTTAACATTTAATTGTTATATTAACTATTGTCATCAATTTTCATTATTATGCAATAATTACCTATCTAAATACACATTATCATCATCATCATCATCATTATCGTAATCATGATCAACATCATAACCATTCAATACCAATTTATAAATATATAACTGTGTTAATTGTCTGTCATTTACTTCATCTGTTGATAAACTAATTGTTGTTGATATTAACATGAAATTAAATGTGGATAATTGTTCATTTTTTTTTGATGATATTCTGATGACAATTCAAAGGGAATCTGTTTTCTACCATGTAAATGATGGTGTAAAAAAAAGGTGATGAATCTTGAGCAAATTATAAGATTCATGATTAGCCTCTTGGGCTAACTTATTCCTGTCGACTTATCTGTCTTCCTATCATCATCATCATCTTCATCTCATATTCTCCATGACAATTTTGATGACAAAGTTACATGAAGTTTACATGACTATCGACTTTAATGTAATAACAATCCTGAGAATGGATGATAATCATCATCAGTCATCTTTTTCTCATGCTGATGATTCAAGTCGTTAGTTTTTCTCCCTCCAAAAACCGATACTTGTCATCATCATTTTACCATCTTCATCATCATGATCATTAAAATTCAGCACGTTCCAAATACTACAAAAAAAGTAAACAAATTTTCAAGCATTTTACAAACTCCTTTTCAACGATATTCTCATTATTCATTGAAACATTTTCCCTGATTGATGAATGATTCCCAATTCATTATAAACTGAATATCATCTTGTTAAGGTTGAGATAAACAGAAAACAAAAATAACAACAAAGATTACCTTTTATTCAGATAAGATATTCACATAGATTTACAACATCATCGATGCATATGATGATGATGATGATGATGATGATGATTGCAGAAAGTAAGATGATAACAAATAAGAAGATGAAGATGAGGATGGAGATGGAGATGGTAAAAAAACAAGTCTAATGGAAAATAATAAGTTAGATACATATGAATAATCCAGAAAAGGTTTGAATCAGCTTAAAAAGGGATAATCTTACTGATCCAATAAAAGATGTAAGATGACACTGGAGATGATAATAAAAACAAGGTAATCTCCTTAGTCCTTTTAATAAGACAATATCTTTACCTGTCCATTAATTGATTCCTGATAATATTTATCATCTTCATCTTCATCATCATCAGAATGTTACTACTCTCCATTGATGATCAGCAAAATTTTGTCCATTAATTAGATATGTATAATATAATAGTGAATAAGGTTTTCTTTTTGCTCATTTTTTTTCTGTTTCTTGATTGTTTGTTTTTCCTCCTCCTTTTTCAAGGTAAATCAGCAATAAACATGCTGATTATCATGGTGATGATTCAATAAATTAGGCGTGTCAATGAAAAATGTTCAGGTAAATGATGAAAAAAGAGCCAAGAGAAATTAATTTAAATCTTTAAATTAGTATTAAAAGGTGTGCCAATTAACCACAATTTTGTGGTTAATTTTGTTTTTGCTGTTGATTATTTACCTTAAAAAATAAACATCAAGTGTAAAAAATTAATCTTCACCAAGATTATCATGATTGTAATTAAACTAATTGTTTTTTTTTTTAAAAAATTACAACACAAAATTAAGGACTGGCTTTTAATTGTGGCCACACAATTTAACTCTGGTTTCATATTGATTGTTTTACCTTTTTTTATTATTATTATTATTTTTGATTCTCTGGTTAATTAACTGGAAATTATTAAATTTCATCTGAAGGCGTTGATACAATTTTTTTTTTCAATTAAAACCTAAAATATTAACATGGGATCTCCTCAGGCTTCAGGGTTGTTAGCCTTTCATATGAGATTAATAGGTTTCAGTTAGTGATATTTACCAAATGATGAGGAAAGATTAAGATTGTGATGAGGATGAGGATGAGGAAGATGATGATGATGAGTTGCCGCTCCCATTAAATTATATATGAAAAAGTTGATTGAATTCAATTTACCATTGAAATTGTGTTTGTATTTATGATTAAATTAAATTGTTGATTAGCAGATGGTTATTCACACGATAATATAGCTTTTTAATTATCATCACAATTGTACAATGATAATAATGAAATACTATTAATTGTCCACTTGGAAATTTAGATTTAAAAACAAAACAATTAGCTAATTGTTTGTGATAATTAACTTTAATCACGAAATAATTATTATATTTGTTGATCTGTTTTGTGTGGTTTACAATAATTGCTTTAATTAACTAATTATCTTATTTGATTGTTGGTTATTTCATTTTTTTTAAAGTTAATTGTTTAATATAAAATCAAAGATTCATTTCTGATCATTTACCTTTAATTACTCTTGGGCTCTGATTAATTCAGTATTTTGATGGGAATTAAAATTATTTATGACGCAATGAGTGAGAGAGAGATGAAGATGATGAGGAAGAGGAAGATGATGAAAGGTAATTGATAGATGAGTCGATTTTGAATAATAACCATCATGTTGATTGGATAATCTTGAGTTAATCTGTCTACAAAGTGCTAGCAAATGAAATATTCATTGTTAGATGTCATCGGAATTTGAAAGAAAAAGCAAGATGAAGATAAAGATGATAATGATTATATTTGTTCTTGATTACCTTTGGTATGTAAACTATAACAAGTTTGATTCATAAATTGATGATGAACGAAAATTGATCAATCTGAATACTATATGTACATGAGATCTGAAGGGAAACACTTCAATTTAAGGGAACATTCAAACATTATCATGTTCCTAGTATGAGTTTTATGGTAATGACGATAGTGAAAATATGATGATAACGAGAGAGAGAGAGAGAGTTCTATAAGAGAATCTAATAAAAAAAATTAGACGTGAGCAAAAAGGAAGCAAGAAAAAAGGTAAAAAGATGAGGAAGAATCTTTTTTTCATCAATTCATTGGTCATCCTCAGTTTCTCACTTACAAAAATCATTGAGAAAGTTTCATCTAGGGAGCATAGGAACTACTTTGAGGTTCCATTTACAAGTTTCCAATATTGATATTAAAGTATTACGAACTCTCTCTCTCTTCTTCCTTTCTTATCATCTTCCTCCTTTTTTTCGCCATCTTCATGATAATTCACAGTTTCCTATAATGCAATTTATTCCTTGAGTCTTTTTTTATATTCTCACTCTGATATTTTTTGTATTTCTTTATTTCTATATATCCAATGTCTTTTGGTTCCAATGGTCCGCTTCATTTCATCCTCATCTCCATCATCTTATCTAATGCACATTCTCCATCTTCGATGCAAACCCAACCTTTACCATTTTGTTATTTTTTTATTCTCTTTTTTATCATATTACTTTTCTCTCTCTCTCTCTCTCCATTCATTATTGAAAGGAATGATTTTTCTCTTTCTCCATCCTCATCATCATCTTCTCCTCTTTTTTTTGTTCTTCATCAGATCAAGTTGTTTGCATTTGTTTTGCTTTTTTGCGTTTATCATCATTCCCCATTGACAATGTTAATATATTTTCACTGTTACTATGATATTTTGTTTTTTTATTGCTCATCCTCATCAATATCACCTTCATCACTTCACATCCTTATCTATAATGAATACGATTGATGTAATAATAATGCATATATGAAATTTCATCATATTAACAATTGTTATTGATTAACTTTTCCATTCAGTTTGGTAATGAAATAAATGGAGAAAATGATTCAATTTTTTAATGAGACAATTGAAATGCTTTTATTTTGATTTTGGGTATAAAAACAATCTTGATTTTTGCTAGTTCTGTCGAAACACACCAGAGACAGAGAAAGAGAGAGAGAGAGAGAGAAAATGACAGGAAAAGGAAATGATGATGAGATAGAATAAGAAAAGGAAAAAAGAAAGAGAAATGATAAAAAATATGAAAGAGATGATAAATGTCGGTGTGATTCCAATAACAAGAAGGCACCAAAGTTACAGTGTTATGTATAATATTGTACAACATCTCCTTTCCTTCTTGGATTGGAACCAGATTACAAGATTAAGATTAAGATTAGAGAGAGAGAGAGAGAGAGAGAGAGAGAGAGAGAAAGGGTTTTGACAGTGACATTTGTTGTTGTTTTTCTTTATCAATTAAGAATTATTTTCTGTTTTAAATAAGGAAACGGAAAAGGAAACAGAGGAAATAGATTTTGTTTTGTTTCATCTCAAAAAAGGGAATGATAAAGTTACTAAGTTATCAGATATATAGTTAAATATATAATTGGTTTGATGGAAAATGAAATGTTCGGGAAAAGAGGATCAGATGATTACAGGTAATGGATTAAAATTGAGGATTTGAAGAGGATCAGGAACAGAAAAAGTTGTTTGATTGTTAGTTAATTGTTGTAGTTCTTGTGAAACAAAAAACAAAAAAAAAGATTTTATAATCAATAAGAAAGACGTTGAGTTGTAATCATCACCTTAATTCACCTTAGAAGTTTTTTTTTAAATTTCTTTTCATTCATAAGAATTTGTTTGTTTGTTTTTCTTTTTTTGGATCAATTTAATTAATTTTGCATTTTTTTCGAATTTTCTCCTTTTCGAATTAATTTGCTTTAATTAGTTGTAATTAGAATCTCCCAACAAATTTAATAAATTGTTTCGTTTTTTTGTTTGTTTTCTTTTTTAATTGTTTATAGTTGTAATTCTTTATCACCTTAGAGAGAAATTTTCACCTTTAAATTTCTTCGTTGTAGTTTTGAGTTTTTTGTGTTTCGAGTTTCGTAAAAAAATAGTAGCTCTTTTTTTGTAGAATTTTTCTTTTTTCTTTTCTATGTGAATTCGCACGTCTTTTTTTTTCGCCAATTTTTTCGTTTTTTGTTTCATTTTTAGCGCCTTTTTAATCAAACAACTTTTCCATCAATAATTTCTTTTTGATTGGAATAATTTAGAATAATAATAATCATCATCATGATCATTATCATGATAGTTTTTTGTATGTGTATATATAGTTGTGTGTGTGTGTGTGTGTGTGTGTGTTTATGTGTATGTATTTATGTGTGTGTGTGTGTGTGTATGTGTGAGTGTTTGTGTGTGTGTGTAAGTGTATGTACCAAGCAATGTAATAACTTGTAGGGATGGGGATGCGGTGGTTACTTAAATTGTTTTGTTTCCATCAGTGTTTTCGTTTGATTGTTTGTCTGTGTCATCAATTTGCTTCCTTTAATTTGGCCTGAAGCGATGCAACCTCCAACCTTACCAGTTGTAGATAATTTTTTAAATTAATTAATTCATTTCCACGTTGAGATAATTTATCTTTGGTTATTGCATGAGCTTTTCTCTCACGCTCTAGATCATTTCGCAGGCATTTAATTGAACTTCGAGCAGTTTCAAGGTTTACCTGTTCATCGATTGCATCACCATGTTTCTTTAAATAGCAAAATAAGAAGAAGAAAAAAACCAAAACAAAACAAAACAAATCACAAAATTGAAATAAAAACAAATTCAATCAATTAGTTAATCATCATCATCATCATTAATATTATTACTTCGCGATTCTCCCAATCAAAGAAACAAATACAATCCACTTATCATCATAATCGTTATTTACTCATTGATAAAATAGTTTGTGTACATAATGTAAAATAGAAAAGGTTATAAATCGTAATATTGCTTATCGAAAATAAGAACAAAAAAAAACTAGAGAATAGAACAAAAAATAAATCCAATCACCCGGTAAACATTAATTCTACCACCATGATAACTTTACTCTCTCTCTCTCTCACTCACTCACCTTTGATACTTTACATCTTTGTCTTATGTTTACCTTTCAATCGGTGGGTTTCCAAGGATATTAACCATTTATTGACATTTAACAACATTAGAACCAATTAATTAACCAACTTATTTAGTTTTACTATTTTTTTTAACTTATATACTATATGGATTTACATTAGTTGATTATAGTAATTGAACAAGAACTGAATCATTTTGGTTAACAATTGCAAATCAAACTGATTGTTATGTAACCAATTGGAAAAAAAAAGTTTCTTATTATTGATATTGGAATAGAAAAATAAATTCTAAGGTGAAAATTGTCTAGAGAAAATGATAATGTTTAACATTATGGATTTAATAGTGATTAAAGATTATTAAAAATTAAATATATATCCGGGGATATAAGTCAGAATGAGAGAGAGAGAGAGAATCGATAAAGTGACAAAATTTTTCTCTCTGTAAATAATAACAAGAGCTCGAGGCAAGATGTTGCGAGTCGAAACTTTTTATTATTATTATCATCACTATCGAACGTGTGTTTTTTTCCTCTGCCACACTCGAATGTACATCTAAGAACAAAGTTCACACAGAGAAAGAGAGAGAGAGAGAAAAGTTGACCTCGTGTCAATGGTCATTTTTTTTACCTCAGCACAACAAATGAAGAAACAGACAAAAGACAACAAACTTTTTGACCATTGTGTCCATAGGAACTACTATTATTATTGTTATTAGTTTTAGCTTATTATTATAATCATTATATTATTAGAACCGGATTTTCAAGAGACACTTTCCAATTATTTTTTTTTTTCTGTTATTTTTCAACTGTAATTTTTTTACTATTATCATTTTATAGCATTTAAGCTGGACACTGACCAGAGGAAAGACAGAGGATTAAACTTGCCACGGGGAAAATACGATAAATAATGTTTTTAATCTTCTATTCAATTCAAAAATCCAAATGGCGGTAGTATTATTTTTCTATCGAACTTGAATTTTACTAAATAACTGATATAATACAAGAGAAAAGGAAAAAATCTATTCTAATATTTGATAACTTTTCGAAATTTTCACCCAATCAAATCGATTCTTCTTCTCATTTGCCCAAGCGAAATTTCAATTACTTAATCAACTATATTAGGATGCAAATGAAGATGAAAGTGATTGCATTTGAATGAGAATTGAGAGAATCATGAATGAATAAAATGATGATCAATTATCGTATAATAATTAATAGTAAATATACTTACATTAACATCTATTTGATTAATTAGGTTATCGGGTGAACTTGAGGTTTCATATGATGCTGTTGGTGGACTTGATGGTGACATTGGTTTAATTGCATTACTATTTGAATGAATATTATCTAGATTTCTTGTATTTTTGGTGGCATTATCATTAACTGTAGCTGTAGCATTTGTAGTATTGTTATTATTATTAGAAGAGGTATTATTGTTGATTGATGATTTACTAATTGGTGAGGATAAATCAGTTGCTTCAGAATCGTTGAAATTATTTAAACCAAATAAATTGGCTCCAGTTAAACTAATCAATTCTTCTGGGCTTGTTTTATGCTCTTTAATTAGATGCATTTGTAATGATAAACAATCTGAACAAATTTGTCCACACATTACACACATTCGATTGAGATCATGTCCACTGAGAAATGCACTTGCCGTTAATTCAGCGTTATTATTATTAATTTGAGGGAAATTTAATGAAGAACCATTGTTATTACCAGAGGTTCGAATGGGTATTAAATCACTATGATCATTGGCCATATGAGTTTTAAGCCATTTAATTGATTTGAAACGACGCTCACAAAGTTTACAAACTTCAGTATAATGACTGAAGTAACGATTACCTGTATCACTTGGATCGATTCCGCCAGAATTTTCTGTATCTGATGTTAAATTGGACGAAAAATCCATGACAACTTCCATACTACTCGAACCTTGATGACCATCATCACCACCACCGGCACCGGCACCGGTATTACCTCCTCTTTTACCTGTTGTATTTTCCATTCCTCGTAAGGCTAAAAGTGCATTTGTTGATTGACCAATTTGATGAGATCCTAATGGTGGTGATGAAGATGATTTATTTTGTAAAGTGTTTGGTGGTAAATTTGCTGAGCCTAATCCACTTCCTCCTGGTGTAAGTAAACCCATTCCTCCGGTTGATGTTAATGATAATAATCCACCTCTATTTGAATCTTTCATTCCACTTGGTGTATCCTCACCAATTCCATGGGTATTTTGCTTATGAACTTTAAGGAAATATTTTGAACACAATTCTTTCTGACAAATATCACAAGTAACTCCACCGATTGTTGATGTAAACGCTGCTTCGGCTGGATGCTCATCGATATCAATTTGATGCATTTTCTTCATATGAGTTTTCATGAAATACTTATTACATAGCTCTTTGTTACAGATGTTACAATAGTTTCGACAATTTCCCGATGATGAAGATGACCTTAAACCACTTGGACTATTACCGATTCCAGAGTTACCACATTTAACCGACATTAAACCTTCAATATTCAATTGACGGCCAGTTAATGCAAACGCTGCCGCTGCTGCAGCAACAACTTGATTTACATTATTATTGTTATTCTCATTTACTGATGAACAATTTTGCGGTGATTCTGGTGATTTATTTTCAATATCACGATAATTGGATGAACAGTTAATTGTTGACGATGAAGAACCAGTTCGATTAAATAGATTGACTGAATTACTATTGTTATTATTATTACGAATACCATGGATATTGATTCGATGTGCTCGAAGTGACGATTTACTTTGAAAATTTTTACCACAAATTTCACAAATTAACTCAAATTCTGAATTAATTGTCATTCCTATTCCATTACCAGGTAAGTTTGTACTGTTATTATTACCTGCGAATAAATTTCGATAAAAAATAAACACAATTAATGATCAACACTCATAATAATCGACAGTATAAGTTGATCATTTTTTTTTCGAAAAAAAAATCGAAAAGAAAGAGAAACGATCAGTAATAACTCTCGTGGCCATTGCACTGAAACTCTCGATTTTTGTTTCAAGTTCAGTTCTTTACAATCTATAGATGGATATTTACTATGATATTATCTTGATAATAACATTCTAATAAGGTAATGAGATAATTAATCATTATTCTTACCTTGATTTGTTGTATTAACCACACTCAATGTTACTTGTGATCCTTGTTTAAGTGGAGGTGTTGTTGATGGTGAAACTGAAAATGCCCTCAGGTTATCACCAGTAGGTGTTGTTGGTGTAATGGTTACATGAGATGATGTGAACATAATATCAGTGGATGGATTTAAAGGTGAATTGAGATGATGATGATGATGTTGATTTGAATTGTCATCACCATCTGATCGAGGTGACATTGTATTATCTTCTGGACAAGACATTGATTGACGTTCCGAATAACTGAAATCTCGAACTATTCGAGATCCTTTTTCACTGCCACCATCTCCCTCACCCTCGACTCCCTCCCTTCTTCCTCTTCCTTCACCAATCATTCCATGATCATCATCACCACCACCCTTACTTTCACCCTTAAGATGACCCGAAGTGGTTGACCCACAATTAGATGCAGTGTCCATAGTACCAATTCCGTGTTTATTTGCCTTATGAGTTTTAAGAAAGTATTTATTACAAAACTCCTTCTTACAAATCTCACAAAATGCATCGGCGTTTATAACACCCATCTCTCGGAGTTTTTCCGGTGTAAAGATTATATTTTCACCCGCTGGTATATTAATCGGTCGACCAAGGAATGCAAATGATTCCGCTTGAAGTGAGGCCATCATTGCTTGCCACTGATCACGGGTCCATGAAGGTGAACCTTGATGAGGAATTGAATGGATTATCATTCGGTGGGCTTGAAGTGCCATTGGATTATCAAGATCAATCCTACACAGGTCACAATAGGTTTCACAGTTATTACCGTTATTATTATCGTTACTATTTGTAGCATTTGGTAAACATGATGGTGACATTGTTGTTGATGGTGAAGATGAAGGTGATGAGTTAACGGAAGATGATTGCATTGATGGAATCACTTGTTTTGATGATGATAATTTATCTCCATCATTTGAGACTAGATTATTATTTCCTGTGGTTGAAGTTGTTGTTGTTGTTGTTGTTGTCATTGTCGTGGTTGTTGTTAAATTGGATGTTGACATTTTGGTTGATTCTGAATGACTATTATTATTGTTGATTGTGTGTTTACTTGTCAATGAGATGGACTGATGGTGATGATGATGATGATCTAAAGATGATGGTGAAAGTTGTGGTGAACCTGAAGGTATCTTTGTTGAGACTAGACTAATGGCTTCAGTTAAACCATTGGAATCACCTTCCTGATCAGATGAATCTGAAGGTGAAACTGAGCGATTTGAAATGTGACGATCAAGAGACGATGAACCAGCAGCTAATGCAAGTCCAGTTAAATTGGCTAGCGAAGTTACTGAATGATCATTGGAACCACCATGAAATCCAGGTCCGGTTAACATTAATGGATTATTATTGTTATTACCTGAGATTGATGATGTTGATGAGGAAGATGAACAATGAATATTATGAATCTTAGATCGGTGTTTCTTGAGGAAATACTTGTTACAGAATTGTTTCTGACAAATATCACAATAAGATTCCATGTTAATCATTCCCACCGCTCTTGATGCAAGGGCAACAACCGTTGCTGAGTCAATATTGGGTGTACCTGAAGCAGAATTGGGTCCACTTCCGCCATTTCCACCGCCCACACCACCACCACCACCACCTCCTCCTCCACCTCCACCACCACCAATACCACAATCACCTCTATTTGAACCTGAAGATGCTTGTTGTAAAAGTTGCTGCATTTGCATTGCAGCAGCAGCTTGAGCTTGTGCTGAACCACCAGGAATACCACCGGCGGCTGATTGGAAATATGCTGCAGCCGCTGCGGTATTAAATGCTGCTGCCACTGCGGCTGCTTGAGCAGCTTGAGATCCTGATCCAGAAATAGCTGTTGTTGTTGGTGTTACTGTTGATGATCCTCCAGGTCCAGATGAATTTGGACTTGGATCTGAGGTGTAAATACCATGTTTATTGGCTTTATGAGTTTTCAGAAAATATTTATTACATAACTCCTTGTTACACAATTCACAATAAGCTTCCGGATTAAATATTTTCTGATGAACATGAGTAGGATTAATTGCAGTTAATCCGGCCAAACCAAGTCCATTGTGTATTGCACCACTGGTCAAGTTAACACCAGAACCATTTCCACCCACTAACGAACCATTATTAAGATTATTACCATTGTTACCGGTGGTCGAATTGTTTGAACAATTAGAACCATTAGAACCAGGTAATATATTAAATAAATAGGGAAACATTGCAATTGGCATTACATTTGATGAACTATTTGGATTATTATCTTTACCGTTATTATTATTATTATTATTATTTGTATTTGTATTATTTGAATTTTCATCACAATTCAATTGACCTGATTGGGATGTAGATGAATGGATAATTGGTAATTGAGAGGTTGTTGTGGTTGTAATTGTGGTTGTATTGGAAGATGATGATTGGTGATGATGACTATGATGATGATTACCTGTTAAAGGTGATGATGATGATGAGGGTATGGTGGGTATTGATTGTTGACCAGAAACACCATGAAGTTTATATGAGAGTAAAGTGGCAAAATCTTTGGCTGAACCTGAAGGAACTGAGGTAACTCCGGTTATCGATGTTGACATTGAACCGATTCCAGAGTTTTTATTATTATTTGTACCGGAAACTCCTGTTATCGTCATGGAGTGTTTAGAACTTGATTTATGATGAGATGTTGAGTGTTGATGATGAGATGAAGATGTACCATGATGATGATGATGATGTTGTTGTTGTTGTGAATGACTATGGTGGGAATGATGATCGTTGTTATTATTGTTTGTATTTCCTATTAGACTAGATGATGAATCAATGAATGATTTCTGACGACTTTTAGGTGACCCCAATGGACTATTACTACAACTATCGCCCAAACTACTGGCAACATCGGCATCTACCTCTCGATTCATTGATGATAATCGTGATCGACCTTGACCTCGAGAATCCTCGGTGAAAGGTCCATGTTTACTTGAGATACCATTTGGTGTTTTCTTGTATTGCTGATGATGATGCTGAGAATCAATTTGTTGCTGTTGTTGCTGCTGTTGTTGATGGTGTAGTAACTGTTGTTCTAATACCTTTTGCACATGCTGGAAACGGGAAACGGAAATGATGCCAATGTTATATAAGAACGAGATGCAATTGAGTCAAAATGGAAAAGAAGAGAAGAAAAAAAAATTTATTAGTAATCATCAAGTGTTTCCATATATCTCATGTTGATTATTGGGATTAATTGAGTTGATTAACTTACCTCTTCTTCAATGTGATCCTTTAATTGATCCTCATTGATAAAGGGACAACCACAGTGTGGACAAAGGAAATGAAATTTGGTTAATTGGCTGTAATTAAGAGCTGCTGCCGCTGCCGCTGCCGCTGCAACGGATAAGTCCATTTGACCGGGTTCTTCGTCGTCTTCGTCTCCCTCTACAGGTTCATCCATTCCCTCATCTTCCTCATCTTCTTCTCCATCATCTTGTTCAGCATCTTCTTCCGTTTCTTCATCACCTCCATCATCTTGACAATTATTTTTAACAAATCGCCTTTTTAAAACATTTGCTCGATTAATTGTTGATGATCCTCGCTGATTATGATGATGATGACCAATGGTCATTCCAATGATTGAAGATGAATTATCATCAACCATCATCATCATTGGCTCATTTTCTCTAGATTTATGGATAAAATCATTCTCATCTCTTGATAGATCATCTTCTTCATCTTCATCTGTAGCATTTTTTAATTGTCGAGATGATGATTTCTTTGTTAATCCGGTTGTGGTTCCATATTTAACTGGATTACTTTGTTTACGTCGTTTCTTTGTCCTGGGTTCATCTAATTCATAGAAACCACCCTGTGTATTACCAGAATGACCAGAAGCCTCTTCATCATCTCCAATCAGAGATGAAGATAATCTCTCATTATGATGATGACGAGATGATGATGATCGACGGTCAATTGATAAAGATAACTGGTCATCCTCATCTTCATCCATTTCATCAGAATCATGGTGAGTTTGAGTAGTAATTAAATCACCATTAACTGATTCATTTGAATTAGAATTTAATTTTTTACCTTTCTTTCCTTCGGTATTATTATTATCATCAATTGGTTCATTTTTAATCATTGGTGTTGGTGTTGGTGTTAATTGTGATGATGATTTAATATAATCATCAACATCTTCATCTTTCACTTGATCAATTGATTCACTTTTTTCAACTGGTAAGTTCATCATTATCGTTAAAGTTAATTATCGGCGGGTTGGTTACGGTAAAAATGGATTAACAATTTATCTTATATAATTAATTAAAATCACTAATCCAAAAAGGTTAAGTTAATCAAAATTTAAAAGGTAATCTCATCATCATATAATATAAACAAATTTGATTCTCAGGTAAATGATGAGGATAATTTTCCCATTTGATTGTTGAACAAAATTAAACAATTTCTATTGACAGATTGACTTTTGATTGTTGGTTTAATTGTTACTGTTTAATTGTTGTCCTTTTTGTTTGTTTGTTACTTAATCACTTTTACCAAGTTGACATTGAACTTAACTTTAATTGTGATGATGACGATGATGATTGTGATGATCAGGATTTTGATTAATTGATGATTATAATCAACGATTTAGTTTAATTGTTTGTATGTATTGGGTTGGGTTTTAACCTTTTTGATTATGTTTCTGGCGATAACACTGATTAAATTTGATTTTGATTAAATTGTTGAGACACACACACACTGATTATATTGTATGATAGGGTTTGTATACACATAGATTAGGAATTAAGAGACAATTAAATTGGGGGGAGAGAATAATTAACACTCGTGTATATAATTAAAACTGAATTCACAATTAAAATTGTTGATGATGATGTTGAGATCCGAATTCAAATGATGTTTGTTTGATTTGATTTCTTAATAATAATATAATTTTGATATTGTTGCTCCTTAATTGTTGTTGTTGTTTGATTAATTCTGCTTGGTAAAATTGGTTTGATGATAATGATGATGATGATGATGATTATATTCCGTTAATTGTTGTGTGTATATTGTAATAAAAAAAAACTTGATTTGATTAACTTGTAAGCTGCTACACTAAGGCCAAAGAAAACTAAATTATCACAATTAACTTCATATCTTTTAATTGGCCAAAGTATTTATATTGTTTATACACAGCACTTCCTGCTAAATTAATTAACATTGATTAACATTGGATGATAATTGTTGTTGTTGTTGTTTGATTGATTCATTTGTGTGTAAGGCCATGAGGTTTGGTCAGTTTGATGATGACGGTGATGGGTTTTCATTTGAATGTACATTATGGTCAAACGGTAAGATCACAATAAGTGGACAGTCCGAGTCGGAATTGAAAAATGAAATAAAGATTAAAATATAAAAAAAAAGTAAAAGATTTAAGTTAATTCAATGTGTTACCGTTTACATAGAGGAAAATGTGAATGAATATGAAGGTTGGAAAGGGAGGAGGAGGAGGAGGAGGGAGGATGATGATAAGAAGATGATAAAATGAGTGAGAAAGAGAGAGAGATATATATATTAAATATGGGACAGGTCGGCCTAGTCAGTTTGCGTGAGCTGTGGGTGAGACTGTAATAAAATGAGAAAGAAAGAGGAAAAAGAAAGAGAGACCATTCAACGGACCTTGGTCATATTTCTTTCTACTTTCACTGTCTAATTTTTCATCATCTTTATCTTCCCTCTCTTTTATCATTCATCTTCTTTCGTTCTCCCTTATTCTCTCTCTCTCTTTTTAAAAGCGGCCTTGTGGGGTTCGGTTCACTCTCGTGTTGGTAGGTCAACGAATGGACATGAATAACACTCCGTTACATTGGTAATAACTCGAGTGGCCTTTAAAATTACTTTTTGCCAGAAGCTCGACAAGAGAGAGAGAGAGAGAGAGAGAGAGAGAGAGAGATGAGGATGATAAGGGAGAAAGGCTATTAAATCTTAGGTTGAATAAGAATATGGTCTAGGAGAAAGAGAAAAAGAGAGACTAAACCCCCCTAAGGCATGGACATTGGCACGAGCCATCAGGCCAGACCAGGTCATGCCACGAGTTACTCTCTTCTCTCTCTTTTCTCTCGCTTGGACTTAGCAAAAGCTGCTAATAGTATAAAGAGAGAGAGAGAGAGATGATAAAGGATACACAAGGAAGAAACAAATATCATCAATACAATAATTCAAATGCTGTAAAATTGTTGGACTTAAATTCAAAAATGACCAAAGGTCCTTTTCCCTCTTTCTCTCTTATAATAAATGGGCAAATAAATATTAAAAAAAAATAGAGGAAAAGGAAACACACAACAAATGCTTTTTTCTCTCTCCGTAGGATTTACTGTTTATCACTTCGGAATTCTAACAGACGTGTTAATATGATTTAAAGTGTAAAATACAGAAAAGAGAGAGAGAGAGAGAAAAAATTCTTCTATTCTTTTTGATTGGAAAATATATAAATAAAAAAATTCTATCGAATAATAGAAAAAAAAGGTGGAGCTTAAAAATGGATATAAATAAAAAAGGAGGAGGTTTAAAATTTGATAAAATATAAGAGGAGAAAGAGAAACAAGTAAGATAGGATTTTGAAATGATGAAGGTGGAGAAATGAAAAAGTTGAACCAGTTCTCAGCCTTTTCCAGGTTCTATCATGCAATTCGATGGGTTTGGTTTAAAATGATAACAACACACAACAACAACATCTCATGTTGTTCATATATATATTAGATTGAGAGAGAGAGAAAGAGAGAGTTTAAAGTTAAAAGTAGGAGGTGGGATAATATCATGATAAGATGATATTATAGAGGGTGGAAAGTGGGTTGAAATGATTTGAGAAATAAAAAAATTTTTGAGTGTCTTACCATTTTTGAAGAGATGCTTGGAGTGGAGAGATGGCCCATTGCATACCCCTCTTCATGCAGCCATTTTTAACTTTACTCTCAGCAACTCATGGTTACAGACACTCAAACTTGAGAGGGAGTCGAGTGAGAAACTCTCTCTCTCTCTCTCTCCTGGGTGGGAGATGATGATGATGATGAAGGTGGTGGTGGCGGTGGTTGGAGGATAAAGAAAGAGAGAGAGAAAGAGAATCATGTTTTTTTTTCTCCACTCTCTTTCTCTCTTTCTCTCTTACTTACTCAGTCTCTCTTTCTTTTTGCTACCTCTCTCTCTCTCTCTTTCATTGTAAAAGAAACAAAAAAACTATGGCCAATTACATGGGGATAGAAATATAATTCAACCCCTATCTTCTCTTACTTTTTCTCTTTCTTCTCTTTCTTTTGTCAACATTTTTCGATCAAGAAAGAGGAAGAGAGTGAGTGAGAGAGAGAGAAAGAGAGAGTTATGAGCAGACTCATATGAACTCCAATCAATAAAATTTATTCTGATAACATGATGAATAAAAAGGAGGAGCTTTTCAATGAGATGCGCTGGTAGAAAAACCAGAAAGAGAAAGAGATGAAGAAAGAAGAGAAAGAGATTTATCTTCCTTTTTTCTCTCTTTCTTTCATCTTTTACCTCTTTTTAGGTTCTTTTTTCGAATTTTGTCCAAATTTTCAATCTTCGAATAATCCAGTTAATTCGACCTTCGATTCTACTAACACCATCTATCGAGCAATTGCTTTTCTATTATCTGCTGGACAATTTTTCGAAATGTTGTCAATCAACTGGTTCGAAACTAATAATAATATGATATTCTCGAGATTTTTTATTCGAAAATCGAATAGAAATAAAAAGTTTCTTTTAAATCGAACCTCGAGACAAAAAGTTCTCAGAATTCAGGTTAAGGTTAATATTAAGATTCGCAATTGAACATTTGATCATTTAGAATTTAAGTTATTAGAGTTGATTGATTTTCGTCATTTTTATCAATAGTAATTGAAACAATTTCTCAATTAATGATTATCTAAATTTTATATTAAATGATTTTAATTGTGTTGATCAGTTGATCATCTAAACAGTTAAACTCATTTTCAATTAACTTGTTATCATGTTGATTGATTATCATGATGATTAACAAACAGGTAGAAGATTAATCCGGATTTCTAAGGAAATTGTTATCATCAGGTTAATTGATTTGGTAAACAATTAACATGAGATTTAACTAGAAAATTACAATCAAACTTTTCAATCTTATTAATCAGTCTCTTCCTTGTTATAATAATTAAAATCTTACAAATTTCCCTCAGGCTACATTCATATTCATGAATGAGATGAAATTAAGAAATATAATATAAACATAATTAACTATCAATAAGTATTAAGAAACATTCAAATCTAATCACAATCAACTAATTGTCACAATAATAATAATTGAAACTTTACATTGAATAGAAAGCGCCATCTAATGATCAGGCTTCTAATTGAATGAAATAACTAAATCAAGAAAAAGATCAATGAACAATCAATTTAAATCTGTAAACAATCAGTCAAATTAACTACAATCAGTAAATTGTCATTACACTTGAGAGGAATAATTTAGTTTCTAATATCCTGGGATTAGAAAAAGTTAACAATCTTATTCTCAATTTCTAATTGTCAACAATTAGAATAAAATTTTTCCATTTAATTGAAGGTAAAAGAAGAAATTAACAGACAATTAAATGTTCACACTCAATCTTAGATTAATTACAGAGCAATTAAATTTAAATTGCATTCGAAAATCGAGAAATTAAACCACGTGACTCTCTTAAATTAGCCCATAGATGGCGTTGGAAGATTGCAGAGTAAAAACTAATTAATGAATTAAGTAAATTAATTAGTTGATTATTATTACGTGTGATTAATGAAATTGGATAATAAAGGAAAGATCATATTCCAAGAGATAAAGAAAAAAGTTAAACTAATCCGCATCTCGGTTAATCTAATCTTGAGATTGAGAAAAAGTAAATGAAAATGTTAACAGAAAAGTTGAAAAAAAAGTTTCTCTTTTTTGTCTTGATCGGTATCGAGAAGCAAAACTGGAAAAAGTTACATAGACTTTGAGTAAACATGGAAAATTATGTCAATATTTATGACCATAGTTTGCCTGGCCGATCGTAGTAATCTAATTATCATCATCTGTCTAATCAACAATCAGCGAGAGAAAAAGTAAACAATCAAAGGTAATCAAATGAGATTCAACGTGAAGATTATGAAAAAAACAAACCAACTAAACTATAAATTGTAACCTGAAAAACTATCAACACAGGTAAGAAAAGTTTTATCATTTGACTGAAAAAAGTAAACAGAAAGTAAAAGTTTATCACCATCAACAAATCAACATCAATATCTATGATTGTTTACAAGGTGAAAGTAAAAGTTTGAAACAATCAACAAGAAACTAAATCAGATACTGATTGATAATAATAATTTTTTTTTATTACATTCATCAGATTTAATGTCGATTAACAATTAACACTGTAAAATATACGTAAATACATACATATATAAAGCACCTCGTGGGTGTAGGAAAATCAACAATTAGATTATTCAATTGAAAAATCAATGAGAAATCAAGAAAATCCAAATCAATCAAATGCTCTTCAAATGCTTTTTCATTTTGTATTTTTTTTTGATAAAACATTTTTACTATTCACATTGAATAATCTCTGATAATTTACTAATTACAATTAAAACTAATAACAATATAATACTAATTACCACTAATTAATTACCTTAGTAATTAATTTTTCCCCTGACAACTAAGTCTCTCTCTGTCTCTGTCTCTCTCTCTCGGTTTTCCTATTGACTTTCCATTGCAAGTTTGATTTAGATAAGAAAACAAAAAATGGAAACAACAAACAAGCAAAAATCTAAACGTTATCTGATAATTTCAATACTAATTGTTAATAATTAATTGTAATAATTATTATTGTTACTGATGATGATAATAATTAAACATGATAAAGTTCAACATCTCAACGATAATCAATGAATCAAAAAGTTTTCAATACATTTCATATCCAATGGAAAGTGATACTTTTGTTACAAACTCAAGTTTTGTTTTTTTCTCAAGTGGTTTTAACTTTCTCATCCAGGTAATTGTTGTTTTACCTTTCTTTTTGTTTTCAATTTAAAAGATAATTAAGATAATTAAGATGATGATGATGATGATGGTTATGATTCACATCCTCATCATGTTTATTATCATGATTATCTGATCAATTGATGGTGAGATTGAAACGAATCCGAAATGAATCAGATTTAAGGAGAAACAGGAAAATTGGGAATTGTAATGTTGTTAATTTCTTAATTGTTGTTATATAACAATTAGTTTGGTGATTATATTGTTTAATAATGGAAATTAATTACTTACATGCTTTGGTATTAGTTTATTTAAAATTTATCGCAACAATTAATCGTTGTCACTGTTTTAATTGGCACAATTTAAGTTCAGTGTTAATCCAATTGTGGTTTTGATTCACTTTTTTGTTTTGTTTTGTTTTGTATTGAATTGAAAACGTGTTGATGATTAACTTAATTTAATAGTCCAGATTGTTGAATAAATTAGTTTAATTTTTTAATTGTTGTTGGTTAATTTCCTTGATTGGGTTTGTTTGTCACTTTGTTGTTGATTTAAAACCAAATCAAATTAAACTTGTGTTGTGAAAACTGTCAACATTTAGATTCCTGTATTTGGGAAGACACAGAAAAAAAAAATTAACAATCAAGGTTGAGCGATTAGCTGATTTGGTTAATTAAATTGATTAAATATTGATGGTTATTGGTTAATTAGCAATCAAATACTTGTAATCAAATCAAATGGAAAGACAATTAACTGATAATTAATAAGTTTAATTTGATTTTACACTTTGTTTCAACACAATGATTGTTGTTGTTATTGTTACTCTTACAGTCGTTGACTTAATACTCACACATTGATTGAGAAGGAGAGAGAGAGAGAGAGAGATATGGATGAGAGGGAGCTGATTAGTGAGTAGGTAAGGGAGAGGGAGACAGGAAATCGTTGACGAGGTAGATTAAATGAGCGACCAATTAATTAACTAATCGTTAAAACAATTTGAATTAAAGCAATATTAAAATGTAATCAATTAAAGGTGAGAAATAAAAAGTTATCATATTCAATTGTGAGATGAACATAATTATCATTTGTTAATTGTTATCATTTTTTGATTGGAAGAAAAAAAAATTTATCATATGATATATTTGATTTGTAGATTAGATTGTTATTGATTGTTGATGATGATGATTAAATGATTAATTACCATTTATATTGATAGTTTAACCTTAAATGGTAATTATTATTATCGGAAGTTTAAATGTTCACTTAAAAAAAAAGACGAAAAGATTTCGAGTGAAATTTGATGAGAAGAACAAAAAAGTTATATAATAACAGAAACGATATTATAATGATACCGGATGATGATGATGACGATATAACGGGATGAAAATGATGATGATGATGATGATGATGATCTGCGGGTTTTTGTAGATTTAAATTGTTACTGTTTAATTTGTTAATTGTTGTTGTCAATGTGTATGTGTGTGTTAATACGGGTTAACGATTAAAGCCTAGCAAGTTATTAGACTTCAATTAAATTTGATTCAAGTGGAGTTGTAATGAGTGAGAGAGAGGGAGAGAGAGAGAGATGGAGGGAGATGATGATGTAAGGCAAAAGTGGGAGGGTTAGGGAAAAGGGAGTGATGAAGGAGCTCTTAAAATATTAATTTGCTGTTGCTCCGACCAAATTTAATTAGAAACTTTTTCCCCCTTTTCTTGATATTATTACCTCACTCAATCTTAAACAGGCAAAGGAAGATGATGATGATGATGATGATGATGATGATCCGGATGATGATAAATTTACACCGATCCCTAGCTCCCTCTATTGAGTTATTATTGTGATGATGATGATCATCATCATGAAGACAAAGATGATGCAAAAAAAAAAGTTCATTTCAATGAATAAACTCAGTTTCAAGTGAGCATTTTTTTCATCTCTCTCTCTCCCTTTTGGTAATATTTTATTCATAATTTTTTTTACCTGAATCATGAACTTATAGGTTCACATGTAATTCATTATTTTTTTTGTTTCATTCATAAAAAAAATTTGAATTGATTTGTAAAAATTTATTATTATGAATGTTTGATTAGTTGAAATGTTAAAAATATTAAATTACAACATGGAAACTTTCAAATATCAATCAGATTATTATGTTTGATTACCTTGTCAATTATTATGATTATCATACAAAAAAAAAGTTTGTAAACTAAACAGTTAGAAAATTATTATTATTAATCACAATTAACAATTTGAATTAAATGTCACTCACTTGTAATATATTCCGACAATTAGAAAACAAAATTAGTTAATCATCTTTAGTTAATCTTAGTTATATACTGATAAAAAGGAAAAACTAACTTTATTATTAATATTTAGCTTTTTCCGACTTTTAATCTGATTAATTGTGATTCTTAATCAACAAAGTGAATTAAAGATAAATGAACATAATTAATAAATGAGTTAAAATTGTAAATATCCATTTATTGTCGTTCGATAACCAATAATTAACAAGAGAAATCACTTAATTGTTGATCATGTTGACACCATAATCAAGGTTTCTCACTTAACTTTTAGCCTGATTAACGATGATGATACTGATTAAATGTATATATCATTTAAGCAATTAGACTAATATGACTTTAATTAATTAGTTAATTATTAGTTGTTTTCAGTTTTTTCCAATATCAACAAAAACCTAAACAAAAATTGCTAAACTCAATCATAATGATGATAATATATTTTCAATACAATAATTAACTATTAATACTAATCATTAATACCCTCTGATAAAAATGTAATATATTTATTAATTATAATTAACGGTGACAATCGGCAATTTATTTCACAATTAAACAATAATCATCATTAAACCTAATCGTAATTGCTAATAATTTAGTTTTACTTTTTTGTTTATCAACAATTAACTTAAGAAATGTGTGCAATCTGAATGACGTTTAATCAAATGTATATTATAAGGTGTTTCCTTTAACCAATCTAACTTTTAATTGTCATTAACAATGAAAAAATCAATTAAATAATAAAAACAATGTATTACAATTGATTAATAGCAATTTTAATCGGTAACAAT